TGCATGTGCATGCCCATCAAACACTTGATTGTGCAGAATCACCTTGCCCGTATGATACTAGGTTTGAAAATTCTTAACTAGCTACAGGGTGGAAGTAAGAAGGATGTTGGAAATATGATCTTGTAAACGTTTAACTTAATTTCCAATAAACGAAGTTTTCTGACTCTAAATCTTAAGCACGATCTACTTACAAAAACTGAGACCATCTCAATGCAGATGAATGGATGGTTAGAGAGAAGTTTATCTGAAAGAAAATAAGAAAGCGTAACTTCATACGGCTTTATTCATTTTCCAATCAGAAATTTTACTACCATTTGGTTTCATGAATTTTGTGCTACAATACGAGAACTATTATCTCTGTAGAAAATTGATGATAGAAGAGGCAATAAATACTATCATAATCAGCTCTGTTGTTCTCGTCGAGGAGAAGAGTGTCATTCAGAAACATATCTAATACTGTATGTCATCCCAATAGTCAGTTGCTTTAGTGTCTCTTTATTAGGTTATACACCATGGTGTAGACCTATACTATATGCTCGTGTTTGCTGTTTCGTGTAATTGTTTATCGCGCGATACTTAGTAAACAAGTTTTAGAATAAATAATATCCTGACATAACTTGTTCACCGTCTCTTGTAATGGTTCATTGCTCGATAGTGTGAGTATGTTTAGCTTAAAATTTTTATTTAAACTAATTAAGTTTGTTTTAGAATAAATAATATGCTTGACGCATTCCCTGTTTCGTATAATGGTTCAGCAAGCAATACATCAAGTAAGACCAGCATGCTCCACATATCTTGTGTGAGACCGCATGCTCCTTGGCCAAGGATTTGCCAAGATGATGAGTCAATTCAAATCAAAACCTAATTCCACGTGTCTTGCTCTTGCATTTGTAAATGCCAGTGCCTGTTCTGGATACAATTTACCAGTCTTCAAACCATGATTTGACATACTATTCGTTCTTGCATACATTTTGGTTGATCTGTTGTTGGGTTTCAATCACCATATCTCATTCTGGTTCCTTTTTCACAGAATGCTGCTTACCTAGCCGAGAAACAGGGCCTAGGTGTAATTGATGCAGTTTTGGATGCTTTGAACAAATCTGGTTATCATAATCAGACAGCTAAGAAAATTATGGTAAAATCTGGTGATAGTGCTGTTTTGAATAAGTTCAAGAATAGCCACAATTATGAGCTTGTTTACTTGATCGATGGGGATATCCGTGACATTACGAACTCAACAATTTTGGAGATCAAAAAGTTTGCCAGTTCTGTAGTCATCACGAAAGGATCCGTATTTCCTACTGATGCAGCATTTATCACCTTGCAAACGGATGTGGTCCCTAAGTTCCAGGCCTTTGGATTCCCTGTTTATGTGGAAAAATTCAGAAATGAGTTTTTGTCTCAACCATGGGATTTCTACGCGGATGCTTACATGGAGATCAACACACATGTTTCTTTAATGGAAATTAATGGTGTCATAACGGACTTCCCATCTACAGCAGCTAAATATAGAAGTAAGTTTATTAGGAAACGTGTTTATTTATTTCCTTTTTCATTTATGCAGTCTGTTCTCTTAGGAGTATAGAAATAGTAATCTAAGCCATATCCATCCAGTTTTTCAGTATGTCAGTATCCATTGCAATTCTTTAGGTTTTTTGAACTCAAATGTATTTGATGTCACCTAAAGATCACCTCTAATCGCTCTCTTAGGCTTGAGCTTAGCATTCATTCATTCATTCACATTTCTGATCAACTTTTAGCCGACTTCATTACTTGAGAAGATGGATCGAGACATTTTGTTTTCTGGTTTCTTAGCTGAAAAGTTACTCCTGGTTGGATGTCATTAACACACCCTCTCACACTTCCCGTGCTTATAGTATTTGCTATTGTGGACTATTCCCAGGGAATCGATGTTTAGGGTATAGAGATTTGCCACTATACATGAGCCCTGTGCAACCTGGCGGCCTTATTAGCCTTATGGCACCTCAATATTTGCCACCAGCCGAGGCTCCAGGCCCTGTCCTGTCAGAGAATGACGTGATTGAACCACCTCTACCTCCCGTTGTGGAGAAGCCCCCGACAACGAACACTGGCAATGGCTCTATGGCACCAGGTCCCACCACACGAAATGGACAGCCTACAATTGTTGCAAGCATGATCCTAAGTAGCATTGCTGTCCTGGCAACCCTTTTGCTTTGCTGAGACATCCTCGATGACCCTTGTTTCCATATCTGTAATTGACCTCACTGGACATTTTGGAGTCGAGCATCAGACACTTTGGCCACGATTTTTCGTCGTTGAATTTGTAGGTACTTCTATTCTTTTCACTGTATTTGTTTGTATGGGATACTCGCAGAGGAGATTGGAAGTTAGCTAATGAGAACATGGGTGTGATTTATTCTTTCCATTGAATGACATCTCTTGTTCGTGTTGTAAATTTTGTTGGTGGCAATTACTGTGTACGAGAACATTTACCCAAAACTTGCACATTACAATCACTCTTACTTACATTTCAGTGAATTCTGAAGCTGGCTAACATTTTATCTAAAAACTTAAACTTGTAGAGATGTGTCGTGTATTTAAACATTCGACAAACACGCGCTCATTTGCTCATTTTTTGTTAAAGGGATGATGGTGGGCTTTGATGAATTCAAATCTATTGCACCATATAATGTCGACTTGGCTTAAATTGTTATATATATTCATTTAAATTGTGTCTTAAACAATGCTGCATGAATAGAAAATCTTTTATCTTTTATTTTACTGTTTATGATTCAATTTGAGTTGAAAAAGGTTATTGTTATGATTCAACAATGCGCAATGTATTTATAAAAAAATTGAAATTTTAGCCTAATGAAGAAAAATTATAAAATTTCAGCAATTGATTCATAGAATTTGAAATGGGTTTTCTTTATTCACGATTGAATTTTATTTGGTTCAACTTTCATGTAAAAGATTAATTTTAACAATTTAATATTAAAATGATACACTTCAAATATTTAACATTGAACTTAGTATCCAACAATTTAGACTGTCCTATAATTTGCATTATTATTATTATTATTATTATTATGACCATATGCTCGGACACTAAATTTCGAACATTTAAGAAGATATCGAGCTATACATTGGCAATTCATGAAGTTCGACACCAAAATGTTTGTCATAGTAATAAACGAATGCTAGGAGAAGAAGGGATGAATCACGAAAGTCGAAATTAATATGGTTGAAAAGAGTGTAGAGAGTAGAAGTAAATCAAATAATTTTGTAAAGAGAATTAAAAGCATGGGCAAGATCCATGAATTGTCCCAACAAGAAGAAGCTAATAATACGACAAATGCCATTCTACACGAGACTTGCGGAATCTCAATTTATGCTCGTAGTTTTTCTTCCTTTTCCTTCCCCCTTGGAAAAGAAAAATTTATCCACAAAATAACCTTTAATTCTTAGTTGACATAAATAGTCAGACGATGCTTGATGTACTCATAAACACAC